CTCATGACTGCTGGTAATGTTTCTCTTCCTTGCCAGCAACTTTGGAGTTCATCCTGTGTGTCTCTGGAGTTTTTGTTTGTGCCTTATATGCATTTTAATCCCCTCTCTCAATCTTTCCCACTCCAGCCCCACACACCAGCTCATGCTCTGGCTGTAAGCATTCCTGGTACGTCACCTCTGGGGTTTCAGAGGGATTGTTAAAGAGCAGTGATGACAAAACCTGGCTAACCTGGGTTGTGATGGATGGCAGCAGTGGCTGCCAGCAGCAGCTGCTGTAGGTAAACCAGAGCGCTGATATTTATACCATTTAAGTTGCCTCACTCCCCTGAGTGAATCTCCACAGAGTTGCTTTTCTAGGTGTGACTGTTTAGGGTACAGTCCTCCCTGTAAGTTGGATACTCTGCCATAAAACAGACTTCAGCAGCTTCATTCAACTTCTATATATAAAGTTTCCCTCAAACCCTTTTCGAACTAAGTCCTGTCTCCTCCCTAGGAAGCATCTGCTCCCCATTGCCAAATTCTTCTGCGTTCCTGTCCCTTCGGTCGTGTTTTCTTTGAATCCTTTAAAAAATGTGCATTTTGGCTGCGCGGTCATGCCAAGGAGTGTGAGAGTTTGCACATTTCAAGCAGGGATTGGCCCGTCTCGAATTGGTGCATCCAGAGAACCTGTCACAAGTTCCTTGAAGCACTTCTGCCTTCTGTTGCGCTGGCACGGAGCTGACGGGCGCTCATTTTGCATGTCTCGGCTCTGCGCTTGGCTGGGGACGATATTTGCAAGGCTGGATATTTCTGGTTCTACTCCACGGAAGCCTTAAATGGAGTATTTGCTGTGCCCTGCCTTACGGAAAGGAGCCTCATAATAAAACTTTGGAGGCCCCTGTTCAAAACCCTGATGTCAGACCTGCCTGGGTGGTGGTATGTCTCTCTCCTGTTTGCTGAAGGAGTTTCTGAATTTTTTGGCTGTTGCCACACTCCCTGAGCTCCCCTGCAGTTCTCCTTGCTTTGCCCTTACCAAAGGCTTTCACAGGGCTTATTAATGTACTTTCTTCTTATACTGCTCAAGCCCTTTTTTCCTCATGGATTCAAAGATTTGGAAGTGGCTTGCAAGGCAGTTTGGACTATTTGCCATTGTGAACTGATGCTGTTCCCTATGCCTTGAGCCGTCCTATAGGGCCGACAGCTGAAAGTGCTTACAGTCTGAAACCCTAGGGCAGGTCCTTTTGCATGACATTATGTCTTTGGAACCTTAAAAGCTACATTTCTGTTCAGCCCCTTGGGACTTTTCCATCAAGGGCAGAGGGGGGCCTGTGCTGACCGATCATAAAATACCAGCAGCTGTAGATCACTATCGTGCAGTGTGAGCCACATCCCTTGGGGTTACCAAACTAGCAGAGATAGCATAAGGATGCAGGTCTATCACCTGTCTCATCTGTAAGTGGTGACTTAATTATCTGGCAAGCTGGAATCCTCTTCCTTACAGGAGTGAGAGGGAGGAATGACTGATTTAAAACCTCCTTTCTCCAAGTAGATGCCGATCTTACGTTGCCAGATAGTTTTGCTGGTGCCTTCTGACCTTGAGAGAGATGAATGTAAGTAAAATATCAGGCGTTTGGATCTTGGCAAAGTTCAGATTGCCAAAATGAAGAAATACAAATAGCTAGAAAGGCGACGCTGCGCCTTCCCTGGATGGCTGAGCGGGTGCCATTAGCGCTTGAGTGTATTCCCAACGAGATATAAAAGGAATCGGGAGTGTTAAGGAAAAACAGAGTAAAGTGAATGCCTCTTACAGCTGTCGCAATGGGAAAGTTGCAACATTTGCTTGTAGGAAAAGATGCAGAAGCACACAGAGTACCTGTTAGTGCGAGCGGAGCCAGACTTGGGCAGGATTTCAAGTGTTACAGACACAATCCTGAAGGCTATATGCAGAGCAGCATGACTTTTCCATGATGCTGGTTAAGAAGACGTGCCATTGCAAAAATTTTTTTTGAGGGCTGCTTAAGTTTTCTTGGGCCTTTATAGAGCAGATGTAGCTTAGGAGTGTTGAGTGCGCCGGGGGACTGAGCCGAGGGAACGGCATCCTTGGCTGTGTTATAAACACGGCTTGTCCCTTGGCTCCCCTTGCTGCAGATCAGATTTCTAACTGAGAAATAAAGTTCTCAGAGGGAAAAAAAATCTGTCCTTGGTCCCTTTGTTCTGTTTTCCTGTGGCAGACTGTACAGTCCTGTAGTACTCCTTCTTTAGTCTTTAATATTAGGAGCTCTCTATGTCATACTTCCCATGCCTACAAAACACTGGTTGTGATGGGGACATTGCACTTAAGGGGGTTTTATTCCACCAGAGATACTGGAGTTTGAGGAAAAATACTGATTCAGATAGATTTTAGGAAATTAAAAATCTCAAGTAGAAGGATTGGCAAAGAAAACTCTTTCTGCGGAAAAAAAAAAAAAAAAAAAAGAAAGGTTTCAGTTCTAGATCTCATTTTATATTTTAATGAAATGGAACTAAATTTTTGGCCTGCATCTCCAGGACTTCCCAGGCTCTCAGACAAGGCCCTGGACCATTCTTCTTTCTCTGGACTGCCAAAGCCCTCCAGGGAAATGAGCAGTTTCCAACATTACCTTGTCCATGACGCTGCAAGATTTGCTTTAGCAAGTGATCCCTCTGTCAGGAACAACTGTTCCACTGGAAAATTTCTCCTCAGCCTTAGCTGGGATAATTATACAGCTTCTAAGGGTATCAGCAAATAATGTTGATTCTGGCTTTGCCTTAAGAAGGTTTCTATCACAATTAATCTTTGCCTAGTCTCCATCCTTTCTTGTTTCTTGGAACATAGAGACATTGCTATAAATATCTGTGAGTCTAAATGTGGATTTCTACGTACACATATAGACCCAAGTGCACAAATGGACATTTTATCATATCATACTGTGCTGTGTCATAATATTAAATATAATATTATCTGTCTGCAATGAGAAGACATATTTTTCTGTCATGATTATCAAAGTGAAGCATCAAAGGTTAATTTCTTTCTGTCTGGAATTTGCATGAAGCAAGTTAGATCTAACTTTACTGTGCCACGATAAACTTTGCATAGTATATCTTGTATAAAGGTAAAATACATTTTCCATGACTTAAACCTTTGTGGATCAATGGTATGCTAAGGGCAATTAGATTTAACATCCCTGGAAGCTCCAAAGGCATTTTAAAGGACTCGCTCTTTTGTTCCAACTTTAGCACTCAGAGAGACTGAGACATTTTTGGAATAGGTTTTGATGGACTTATATGAAAATTTATATGACTAAGAATTGGATTTGTTCCTCTGGAATATTATGGATTATTTTTATGTTGGAATTACATAAGTGTGCAGAGCTGCATGCAGTTGGCTTAATGTAGCTAAAAATATATATTCTGAGTTCCATTTGGAAAGGTAGCTGGATTTTTCCAGCTTCCCCTCTCAGTGATGACTTTATGGTGTGCATGGGTTATAGATTACAGGAAAAATTGAAATGCATGGTAAAATCAAGGGGTTTAAAATGGATTAATATTTGATTATATCTTTGAGAAGTTGAATACTGATGTGCATCCTTCTCTGCCCCTGATTTTGAACTGTGGTGAAATCCCTTACAAATGAAACTTCTACCAGAGAGACCATCTGGATGTAAACGAGGACAGGAGTGGGCAGTTCGTGAGGAAGCAGAAATCTCCAGGATCTGGGGCAATGGCTCATCCTGCTTTCATCCCAAGGTTCATTTGCCTCTGGTACAGGAGAAATCACAAAAATTACCCTCACAGGAGAAAACTGTTCCTCGGAACAATCAGGGATGACAACTTAGGAACAACTACCATCAGTTACATTACCCAAAGCTACCTCACTTCTTTCTGCTTCTTAATCCTTTACCTTTCTCTCTCTTTCTTCCCCCCCTTCCCTCCCCCCCATATATATATATTTGCAGTAGACCTAGTTAGACATGGTATTATCCAAAAAATTCTTCTTGGAGAAAGATTTTTCCAGCTATATTTTTGATAAAAAGTCTCATGAAGTGGAGGCTGCGCTCTCCTGTTCCAAAAGAGAACAGATTAGAAAACCTGATCCTTTTATTTTACGTGACTGACTGCCCCATTTAACAGCAACCTTTGGTACATTTTGCTTCACCCTCCATGTTACAACACCCCAAAGCTTTTTAGGGGTTGGAATTGTGGTTCTGGAGGCAGCTTTACTGTTTCAGTAAAGAGTTTGTGATGACTACATCAAGTGATACAGTACATTGACTCTCTGAGGGGATAAATGATGCAAATATACTGCAACAGACATGAACAAAGGGTGTTGTTCTACATTATCTGCACATCTGTGACTTACCTAGAACAAGTGCAGTATAAAATTGAGAAGCTGACAGGATGCTTCCATCAGGTTTTTAAATGCTGTTAATATGGAATGTATATTACAGCATAAAACCAAAATTCTACTTTTGTTTTGCTTCTTCTGTATGTTTTCTAAAATGGACATGTCAGTTTGACTGTATAGTCCTATCAGATTTAGTTTTGATTTAAATCCTGTCTTTTCTCAGCTGTGCTTGCTAATGGAATCATTCATGCTCTTTATACAGTTGATCTAATAATATTTTCTTCACTGCTCTCTGGCATTATTTTTTACTTTGTAGAAATCATGGCAAAACTGGCAATATAAATTGAGTCTGCATTTTAATGATATTGATGGTGATTTTCTCGTGTACTTGTATAAAGCAGGGTTTTTTCCTCTCTTTGTACCGTGGCCATTTCAATATGCTGTGGCATGAGCATGTGAATGACTGTTTGATTTGTTAGATCCTCTAATAAGTCTTTTCCAATATTACTTTGTTACTTAAACTGCTTTGCTCAGGAAGGCCATCAACAGAATGTCCATGAGATAACTTCATCTTTCTCTTTTCTTTTTATAAGCAAGATTGTCCAGTGGCTTGTGAACTGGTCTGTTGGAATTCCTTCTTCCATACAAGGGGAACAGTGTCTTACCACTGGAAAGCACTGGGAGATGGTAAGTCAGTGATCTTCAGCATTTTCTGATTTGTAGATTTCTCAGATTTCAAATGAGGATTCTTTTAGTGACAACATATTTTTTTCTGGATACACTTAGAGGGCAAATTATGTACTGTAACAATGACCATCTCTGTTCCAGAACCTCCATGATGACTTCAATGAATTTGGGGGGAGGAGGTGTGAGTGTGAGCCTTAGAGTGAATTTTCTCCTTGTTTATACAGAGGATCCAAGATGCCAACTCCTACCTCAGGAGAGTGAAACCCTTTACAGAGGCAGCAGATGCAGTTCAGCATTGCTCTTTCTGTTGTGCTTCAACTCTGACCACAGAAGAGTGAGCTCTTGGGACAGAAAGTGCTCTGTTTACACTCAGATCTTGGCATTTTTCCTAAGGGTACCAATTATAATGGTGTTTTTTGTGATATGGGCACACATCCATTATGAATTGGCTTGCACCCACCAACTCATTTTGCACAGGCCATGGAACATCCATCAGATGGCAATGATTCCCATTTGTGTGCAATGTTAAGGAAATCTAGATCATTACCAGCAGAATAATGAATCCCATAGAATTGTTCCATTGTGCAATTATATGAACTATGCTAACAGAAAGTTCACTTTCTCAATAATTCCCTCCTTTTTTTTTTCTAAGCCACAGGAATGATAGATTATTAATCATGATTAATACTCAGTTACAGTGAATTATAGTGGAGCAGTGCCTGGAAATCCCAGTCTGCTTGGTAAACTCATTTTCTTGCATAATAGAAAACTTACCTTGCACTTAAGAGAACCCAAATAGATGAAGATGAAAGCAATGGAACCACCCATTTCATGTAATTAAAAGAGAAATTTAATAGATACATACATTCTTAGTCCAACATTATTGAACTTTTTTGATACTGTACAAGCATAGTAGGAGAAATACAATTGCAAACATATTGGTTGTTCTTGTATTTTGCTTTCTTCCTGAGAACCAAAATCTTCTAGAGCTCATCTGTAACACTCAGTCTGAATCCCTAAGCAGCACTGGATTTAAGGCAGAGCTGTGCGTTGTCTTGAAATTAGGAAGATGTTGGTTGTTCTAGTTGATGATTGCTTGAGAGAGTATGGATCATCAAAATTGTTTAGGAAGCAGAGGAAAGTTAAATGAGGTAATATAATATGCTCCATCCCTATATTTGGTGGTGTACACATGATAATTTTTTTCAGCCCCCCATTTAGTGTGCAGGAAGAGTAAGGCACCAGAACGACATTAGGCAAGGGCTCATGGTCAGTCAGAGAATTTAATTTCCTTAGGGAATAACTAATTTTTAATCTTTTGGAAGCTCCCTGAGGCCTTTCCCATATTTAGCAAGCGTCAATTTCCCTAAAGTTTACATCCCAATCTGTATTATGTTCTGAGAACACGGGTAAAGGAGGTGAAAAGACATGTTCTCCTCAAGGGTGAGACTGCTGGGTCATTTCCAAGAGGAGATCCTTAGAGAGCATCCCATGGGCCCCTCCTGTAGAAGGCAGCAACACAACTCTTCATTATTATCTCTGTCTCTCTCTTCCCCCAGCCAATCTGTCGGCGCATTCCTGGTGCTGAGGAGGGAGAGGCGTCGTGTCGGAGTGATGTTCCCGTTTGCAAAATGGTAACTTCTATTTGTTGTTCTGAGGAGCTGGTTTCACACCCTGACATCTCCTGGGAGCACAGCTGAGTCCAACATGTTCCCAACAGCCATCCACCCAAACGCCTCCTACTCAGGCGCTCAGACCTTCCTTCCCAGTAAACAGAGAATACAGAGACAGCCTTGAATTGTTCCAAAAGTTTCTGTCTCACTGGAAAGTCTACCCATGTTCAAATCTGATAAATGGGTATTTTTCTGCCCCTAGGAAGTCATCTTAGTGTGGGAATAGGATGGCTTTTCAAAGAGGAAACCCAGGTTCTGGAATAATTAATGGAAAAGTCTGACTGACTTTCCCTGGTGTCAGTACATTAAAATGTTCCTATATGTCATGAAAACACAATGTTGCAATTAACGATTTTATGACAGAAAAGAAAGTCATCATAAGGTGCTGCTTCTGCTGCATTGTATGAAATAACACGTTTTTCAAGGTTTCATTGTTCATACAGAAGGTCTCTAAAAATCTACTTCCTAAAGCAGAAAACTGAGCAATGTGCCATTGTGCATTTTAGGTAAGGAGATATTGCTGCATTATTTAAAATACCACCATTCACCACAACAGCAGCCCTCAATATATCCCACAGTGTGATTCCAGTCATATTGTTGGGACATCCTGTCTAACCATGGCTGTGGCCATGACCTCTGTAATTCTGTCTTTGACCTTACCCATGCCCTATAGCAGACATGACCTCAATATCCCAACCTATGGGTTGCAACATGATAAAAAAAGATCTTTGGAAGAATAATTCCTAGGAAAACAGTTGAAAAAACCTGCACATTTGTTAATTCAGCTCCACAGCTGAATTGAGACCTCACTTGCTATGGGTGATGCCAGTGAGGTCAATGCATATTACCTCGCAGGCTCAAAACTGAAACAAGACATCCTGGCTTGCAAGACAAGCTCTCCATCTCTGGGTCCTCACTGATAACATTTTGGGATATGCCACCCTCTGGTTTCCTCTCTTGGGCTCCTTCCAGCCATTGGACATAAAAACTCCCCTTTCAGGCAGAGGCAACAGAGCAAGGACTGCCAACATACATCTCTATTGATACTTCTCTAAGAAATGGAATGTGGGCCAAATTTTCCCTTTTTCTGACCCTTAAGTACCTTGGCTCAGTGTTTTTATTCATACACACCCAAGTGCCACTTTGCCAAGGATAAGCCGTGATAGAAAGGACAGAACGATCCAAGGCTCTGTGTCCTGAAACATTGCACTGAGAGTTTAGTTGTGAGGCTCAGTACTGGAAAATTTCAGATCAAAAGTCTATGGGAGAATGGAAACTGGACCATTAAAACTCAGCACTGCCCAGCCCAGGGTGGGTGTCCCAAACCAGTGCCTCCTGAATGACAGTGGGTAGTTCTTTGGGGTTTGGATCCAGACCCAGCCAGCAGACTGGCATCGATGTGGCAGTGAAGGACTAATGATCTTGTCCCTTCAGGTGGCTGCAACTCATAACGTGATGTCATAATTGAAATAAAAAAACCTCTTCTGCTCCCCACCAATGTCCTGGAAGGAGCACAGACACAAGGTATCTGAGGTTTGTTGTCCTCTGGTCACTAAGACACCTGTACAAAGATTGTTAGTGATTCTAATTATTACTTTTTGGTGGTTTGAAGACAGAAATTTTCCAGAAGTGGAGGTAAAAAAAGGTAATTCATGAGAATTTTTTTTCCCATTAAATATTTGTCTATCAGGATTACTCTGATTAATAAACAAGAGGCTTCAGATTATTTCAGCCATGCTCAGCATCCCAGCATCTTGCTCAGGATCTTGCTTTGTGATTCCCCAGGCACTTCTGCACTGGGATCAGTGGGGTTTGGGGGAGAAATTTTAGTGCCTGTACAAAGCAAACACTGTCCCTGGTGTTAGTCTATAAATATCTAATATGAGCAAGCAACTCTGTGTTTTCCTCTGTGCTTAATACCTGTGTTCTGCACCCTCAGGCAGCTGAATTTATGTGCTTTTGTTGTCATATGTGTAATGTGCAATATGTATTTCCTTTTTATTAATCAGACCTGCCATCAGGAAAGAGATAGAGGGAGTTTGAAAGCACAGCCAGGATAGATACTGTCATTTTGTAATCTTTTGTGCACAGGTGGAGATGCCTGTTTGCACTAAAATAGGTGACAATATTCTGCTGCTTGCAGAAATCTTACAAATGAAAATAAAGCAAAGGAGTTTACTGGCTATCCACAGTGTAATTCTCCTCTGGAAGCATGCAGTCAATTCCCATTTAGGCTAATTACACTTAAGGAGCCCTTTCCTATAACTAATGAACAATAGGCATAACCTGTTATTACATAACCATAGGCACACACATTAATACACTGTCGAATGGCACTACCCTGTGAAAATGCTTCCTCCACAAAACTCACCAGAGATTTTAGCAACATTTGCTGTAATTACCACTAGCATGGTTTCTAATTCATTTAATTTTCTTTTCTACCTAAACTGAGCATATAAGTGTGTTCTAAGAGATTGAATAAATAAATTTTTAATTATAAAATGATGCTATATCATAAATTATTTATAATAACCAACAATGTGTAGTACATGTTTAGGTATTAATCCATTAGGAAGATGAACTAATGTATATATCAGTCCTAAAATAATGTCCTAATTTGTCCTGTGTTTATGAATGGGGAAATCTGTGTTTAAAGGGATTATAGGTTTATAAAAGCCTTGGATTGACAGTGGGTGTAGCATGTGGCATGCTTGGCACTTAGGAATTCTGTTGTCATCTATGGCAAAGGAGAAGACCCTTTTTTGTCCTTTATTGGTTTCAGCAGTTTGTGAAATCACAGAACCAGAACGGTACAGATATACAGACCTCCAGGGAGGGAGCAGCAAGATGCACGCAGTTCTCACTGGTAAAATCTCTGGTTATTATTAATATCTCAAAAAAAAAAAAAAAAGTCTCCTTTGTAATCTGCCAGTTCACTTTCAGGTAGCTTTGAGGAATTTTGTCAATTGTTTTCCTATTAGCGATAGCAGACTTCAGAAATTTCCATGGCAAGTTCCAGGCATTCCCCAGTCTCGTGGCAGGACTCAAAAAGGCTGCAATCAATGTCACAGTCACAGTTGCAGTCGTTGTTGCCGTGGTCTTCATCAGAGGTCTGGTAATATCTATTGGATGGACAACAGGTATCTGTCAGCCAATGTTCACAGGTATCAGGCAGCATTATAAGAAAGTCCCAAAACTGGCAGAACAAGCAGGCCAGGATAAGAGTTGCACATTCATCTAAGAGAGAGGAAAAGCAGGGAGACATGAGAACAAGGATGTGCTGGATTACCCAGGTTTAGGCTTGTGTGGCTACACAGAGATGAGATGCAAAGGAGCACACAGGGTGGGCTAAAAATACATTGATGATAACTACTTCTATAAAGACAAATGAAAAGTTTATTTTCTATGATATTTGTGTCTGGAAAAACAATATCTCTGTGAAAATAATTTGAATGGAAATATTCTGTGGCAGTGAAGTTCAGAGGGATAAGCACTTTAAACCAAATTTATGGTTGGACTTGATGATCTTAAGGGTCATTTTCAACCTAAATGGTTCCATGATTCTGTACTCCCAAAGTGTTTGGATTATAAGCTTCAGGCACTAGGGATGTTCATTCACAAACATCAATTTTTCAAAGGAGGAAAAATTTGGAAACTAGGTCATCTAGGTTGTGTGTCTGTAGCTAGTGAATATTCCTGAAAACTTGGTCACCATGAGTAAAAACTTCTTGCTATGTTTGTTCCCTTCAAAAATCAACTAATTGACTCCCCACTGCTCAGCCTCCCTCAGCATCTGGGTGCAGCAGGTGTGACAATCTGACTGTGTAAATCCAGTTGGAGCACAAAGACCCAGACCTTTCCTTTTTTTCTTTTTTTTTTTTTTCCCCCCTCCTTCTTGTTTTTGGAAGGGAAAAATGCCTTCAACAACATGAATGTCTTTTCATTGGTTCTTTCGGGAAAGCATATGGTTATAACCACATTTCTTGCCCTAGGATGACTAACTGTGAACTCATTCAACTGCATTGGTTCTGTTGTGGCATTTTCTATCTCACGTAACATTAAGTTCACTGCCAGGAAGTTTCCGGAATTATGCTCCTTTTTTTTTTTTTTTTTTTCCTTTTTTTTTTTTTTTTAAAAAAAGCTTTCTTACTGAAAAACAAAATCTAAAAAAATCCAGCTTCTTTATTTAAAAAAATAAGCAGTTAAGGCAGGTAGCAAGAATAAATAGCATATGATTGAACTTCTTTCTAAGTGTCATATCATCACCAATGTTATCAATTTTAATACTTATTTAAATATGTCAAGATCTATTTATGTTCAGACAAGCACAACTAACTTCTAAGTCAGTTCTGTCGAATAAGAATGACTAGACTTCGGTGATACTTAGTAAATTCATGCTTATATTTTTTTTCTAACTAAATGAACTGAAATAATTATAAAATTGAAACATTTAATAAGATGACACTGCTGCATTTAATTGTATGAAATTTACACTGTAGAAAATGTAATCATTTTATTCAGCAGTCCTTGGTGTAATTAAGACTATTCTTTTTAGATCTTTATGTTTATGAAATTTTCTTCCTATACATAGATGTGAGAGACAGAATTCAAAATTATGTATTAATTAAGTATTTTTCAATTTTTTTTTCCCTCTCCAAAGATCTGTTTTCTAATAACAGGTTTTTTTCCCTTGAATGTGTTAACCATAATGGTGCTTATATAATCTGGAGAGAATAGATATGATTCTTGGGGCTTCATCCAGGAAAGAGAGCACACAAAAAGCACAAAATTTTAATAATAAAGTAATGTTTCAGCACAGACTCTGTGATGTGCAGTAAAGATGCTTTTAAATTCCCATCAGAGCACACACCATGAACTGTGATAATGGATGTAACACATTTAGAAAAATCTGCATGTGTGAGGCTTTTTGGTCCTGTTTTAAGTGGGGTAATGTATATAAATAATAGATATTAGCAATTAAACATCCATTCCTATGCATTCATTTATATATTTGAAAATAAATTAGCCACAAACTGCATAAAAGAAGATGCAATCTCCTGTTTTCCCCTCTGTTTTCCCTGCTGTTTGCCAAACAGCGCTACTGTGTTTATCTCAGTGAGAACAATGACCTCAGCTCTCATTCTCTACATTAGTAGATTAATTAGCACAAAAGAAGAATTTCTAATAATTTTTCTAGCATGCCTCATCTCTAATTTTTCCTGCTCTTGTTTGGTGGCATCTGCTTATAGAGATGATTCTCCGAACCACCATGGTCCAATGCTCACTTAAGCCACACTGGCCACATTTAGTGAGACTTACGTGGATCTGCTCCTCTCTGAGTGCACAGAACAAAATAACCATCAAATTCCTCATCTATTTCTCTGCTTTCAGGGGTTCTCCATGCACCAGAAAACAGGATTTGGCCAGAAAACAGGATTTGGCCTCATGTATGTAGAATAAGCAGTAAGTTGTCAGAGTAGAGTGAGCTGAGTATGCAGTGACAACCACAAATCTGGCTTCCTTTGGTTTCCTTGGCTTCCATCCAGCCCTTAACATTATTAATTGAGCACAGATTGGGGTTTTTTTGTTGTTAATTTCCTTCACTTTTAGCTTTCTTAAGGAGTATGAAATCTGTTATTTGCATCACATGGTACACACCTGTGTGCCAGTAATGATTGAGATAGTCAGCAAACTCAGAAAACAGGGAGTGTCTGGACTAGAGGACAAGTCCCCTAAATAAAATAAATACTTCAGATCCTTCACTGAAATTAAGTACATTATAATAGATGTATCAGATACATCCCTTTTATACAGGATCAGTGATAAAATAGAGATATTACTGGTTCCTGGAGAGTATGGCACTTTATTGTGCTATATTTAGACATTCTTAATTTGGCAACTGTTAAATGGTGTACACAATAGACCCCAGCTCCATTGGATGTAACACACTAATCCATTACTGCAAAAGGCACACATAAGAAACTTCTAAAACACTTCACAGAGCCTTTTTTCACATCCACTGGAATAATCAGGAATAGCATTTATTTGATCCCGACTCTGGTACCTCTGTGCAAACACTCATTACTGAAGTACAAACGCTCTGTGGCACAATAAGCTCTACGCTCCTCTTGTATGACTTTAATATCACTGCCAATTTAAGATCATCTTCTAGAGAATCTCATCTACCACACAAATGTCTGCAGGGCAACTTAACATTGCTTTTGGCGATGTTCTTGAACCTCCTGTTCAACATGTAATTTCGAGTTGGATACACAGAGTTCTTTTGCAATGGGCATTTATTTAGAAACCAGCTCCAGTGTGATCTGTGTTATAAAACGTACCATCACTGTCCCTCTGATGTACCGATGCGTCATCTTCGATGTAAGTGAATTCTCTGCATTTCTCCAGGGAAGCAATGGATGATCTGCTCGCATCTGACAATTTCTTCTCATTTTTGGTGCCCTTTGATGAAGCGTCTGTGATGCTGAATTCTGCGACAGAACTCATAACAATACCTTTCATAGGCTTTTCATCTGTGTGTTTTTCATTTGTAAGCTGGTTGTCTGGTGGGATTAGGGGAAAAAAAAAAAAGACTGTGATATCAAGACAGAGATCTGAAAGAATAACATATGCAGAATTTCCAAACCTACAGTTGTTTACTTCCAAGGCCTAACCCTTCTTACCTAATGATTTCAGTCTCTTTACAGAGGTTTATTCATAATATAGGTATTTGTGAACTTGCCTTCTAAGGTTTTGTCTTAAACCCAGTGGACTTAGAGGCTAAGTAATAATTTACTTCCACTGGGTGGGATCAGGTTTTGAGAGAGAACAGAACTATTGCTTCAGTTAATATCTATTTTGAGTATGCTATCCTAACTTCAATTTGTGGTATAAAAGAAGATAAAACAATTAACTTGTTATTTTTCAACAGCAACTCTAAATTTTCCCTAAATTTACAGCCAACAACATACACGTAGGGGGTACCTTGATGCAGATGTGCCAGCTCACCGTGGCTCATAATCTTGTAGCAAAGAAAGCCAGATGGTCTCTGTTTAACATCCAGATTCCTTATTTCATAACTTCATCCCCACTTGTGTTGTTGGCCTGGAAGTCAGCTAGGAGATGGGATACTTCACATGCTGTCAGCATGCCAGAGAGGCAGCTCAAAAACCAGAGGGAGAGCTCAATTTTAAGCCCCAACTAGGGGAAAGGTTAAGAAGAGTTCTGAGTTCAATTTATTCTTGAAGAACTTCTCAGGCGCAGATAAACATGGGTTGATATACAGTTTCACTCACTCTCTGAAGTGATCAAGAGGCCAAGAAACACAGTCATTCTCTCTGTGGCGGGGATGATAAAACCTCATCAGTTCTTATCTACAGCTGATTAACTCCTGCACCTCACATCAAGCACAGCCTCACTTTTTATCTTACTTAAATCTTGTGATATGCTTGCTCTTGAGCTACATACAGGAAATCAATCTTTACAAACAACTCAGTTTTGCAAATACTGCTTTCTGAGAGGAAAAACAGTAAGTGCTCTAAAGTGGTTAGTTTACACTTGGCTGCAAAGGACCCAGAAAAGAGACCCCGCATATCTCTTGTTTTTCAGGTACCTTTGACCTCTGATATAGATTAAAGAAAAGCCAAGGAAAGGCTGGAGGAGAGTGAAACCTTGATGAGACTACAGTTGTTCCACTGGTATCCTTGCAGCCAAGAGGAGGAAATGTGGGTGGAACGGATGAATTACAAGGTAAGTGAAAAACCACTGGGTCCATAAGGTTTGAAGTGGGGACAAGCAAGGATTTGAGGTCTAAGTGGTGTCTGGAGCAAGTCCAGTGAAGGCCACTGAAGATGTGAAGGGTCTGGAAGAACTTCTGTATGAGCAGAGGCTGAGAGAGCTGGGCTTTGTTGTCCTGGAGGAGAGAAGGCAAAGAATGATGCAGGATGCTGTGTTCTACTTCACAGCCAGAGTAATGGGGAAGCAATTGGGATTGCACAGGAAACAAATTCCTCATCATGGGAGGTCCCCAGGGCAGTCCCCAGCAAGGATAGGGAAGTGTGTAGAGCTCAGCTGGGCATGGACCCCAGCAACCTGCTCTTACTGCAGTTAACACTGATTTGTGGCACAAGGAGATGACCTGACTTCTATGAGTCCCTTCTGAGCTCATTCTTCTGTGATTTCTATAATTCTATTTATATATAGAATGATTGAGCAATTCATTTAAATTTCTGCTCATTGTCTCATTGTAAATTTCGTGCCATTTTAGGTCATTTTTACATGATGAAATATGTAGAAAGGTAAAGGTTAGTAGAGTAAGACCTTGGGAGAGGATATGCAGAAATACCAAACTATCATCTTAATTTTCATTTTACATTTAAATCACTGCCTTAAAAGTGTGTGTTGGCAGATGTATTGGCTTGATTTTGAACTTGCAATAATGACAAAGTCTACTAGGAAGGAAATGTGGAATTTCCCTGTCCTGGAGAGTTTGGCCTCAGACAGAGATAGAATGATGGGATGGAGAGAAGTAGAGGAAAAGAGACAGTAAGAGAGCAGTGGCACAGAGAGGAGTCTCAGAAACCTATATCTGTCAGGTTTTGTGAGCATTATGATGAAGGAAAGCCACAGGCAAGACTTGGAAAGGGCAGGAGAGGTGGTGGCTCCACTGGGTGTGACCCAGCAGTGCAAAGCACATCAGTTCTCCCCTGCAGGTTGTACCCTTGGTCGTAGGAAACCAGCATGCCAGGCTGTGCATATCTGGTTTTGCCCATCTGTGATGATTTGTTGATGGTTTTCCCACCAGAGTAAGTAAATGTAGCTCTCTTTTTTCCCTCTCTGACTTCTTGGCCAGCCTCTTCAATCCAAAATGTGAAAACTCATGCATTTGGATGTGCTTATATGTGCAGTAATCACTGTTTTCCAGGGTTTATAAATCAATGACATACCACAAGTTTTCCTGCACTTTCATTCAGTAACAAACCATCTCCAGGGAAAGTTGTGATAATTGAAGCAGCTGAGCTCTAGAGGAAGCAATGTCCCATTTTGCATTGGATTTATTGGATAATAATTGATTTGTTAGTCCTAAAGACACATGCCCAACCTGTTATTCAGATGCCAATCTTACACATGGATCCTGTTTGTCCAGACTGAGAGCTGAGCCACTGAGCACACATGGATTAGATCCAGAAGCTTAGGCAAGAAGAACTATAATTTTCCACTTTCATAAATGGCCCCAAAATCCAAACTAGATATGTTTTACTTCATAATATATCTGTTGACTTCCCCAGTTCTACAACAATACAATGGCCCATGGAATGCATTTAAGCATTCAACAAGCGAGACTGAAAAAAAAATCAGACAGAGGTAATCAGTAAATGCCAGACTAACATTTACTGTATCCACCGACTTCTACTATTCATACTTCGAGTCAATTTTTATTCTTGAAGTGCTGTTGAAGAGAAATCAAAACCAGAAATAGAAAGGCATAGACATAACCTGAATTTTTCAATACAGCACCATCAAACAAAAGGATAACAAAAGCTGTCACTCAAGGACTCTTCTGTTTGTTAAAGCACACTACATCTTGGAAAATACAGTACATTTTAGTGTCAGACTCTTAGTTTGAAAAGCTCCCTTTCAGTAATGTTATACTTGTCTTGTACAGCTAGATCAAGTCTCCATGCAATCACTGTAACAAGCAACTTGCTATGACAAGTGAGATCCTTGCTTCCAGAAAACACTGCGGGAGAGGCTAAAGCAGTGTACAATTATAGGTCTCCATTTCATTTGTATGCAATTAACTTCAGTTCAGCTGTGGGTCCATCTACATTATGTCTTTTATCAATTTAATGTTTGCACAAAGTGTCTGAAGAAATAAAGATTATGCTAGACCAGCATAAAAAAAAAAAAGGTGGTTAGCACTTTTTTTTTTCTATTATAGTTTGTTGCTGGATGGAACAGTAGTAGGTTGGGAGCTTGGAACAAATAAGTGCAACCAAATAAACTTTAAAAATATATACAACTGATATTATTTTAATATCTGATTACTGTTAATTGAGAATATAAAAAATTAAATTAAAATGAAAGATAGGCAGAGGGTCAAGCTTTGCTACTTCTTTTACGATCTTGTGTTCAGCTTCAGCTGTCTGCAAATTTCTGTGTTTTTAACATGTAGAAATCGTCCACTGAAGTGAATTTAAAAGGAAAAATAAATGCATCACGATGAAGAAATCTCAGACTATTCAGTGTTAGACTGTTAGGCAGAGGCATCTAAAGGTACACCCCCACAATGTGCCATTTTTAAATAGTATCATGAAGTAGCAACTTTCTTCCTCATATGGGGAAGCTGGGACTTGCCTTGGCTGTTGCAGTAGAAGACTGGGATTGTTCGCCCATGTTTGCATTAAAGATATAGTCTCAATACTCACCAGTGTCTAAATTCTGAAAGCACAAAGTAAATCATTTATTTTCCACTGAAGCCAGTCACAGATCCCTCTGTTAACAGGGAGGAGCAGTGATACCAAGACTGGCTTTTGCAGTAGGTCCCCTGACTTCTATTTCTCTTCATTGGCTTTAGACACATACCAGTGTCTTGTAGTCCTGGAGAACAGGAGGCTGGGGTTTCCTGGCATGCTTTTGAAATTAGTTTTTCTGTAGAGGTATATATAAAGAGTCTAAGTCTGTTTTTGATAAGGGACAGGGGGAATAAGGGGTGCTCTGTTCTGCTGGACAGGGACTGTAGCAATGTGTCTAATCCAAATAGCTCTTGGAGCAACTGGTTAGGGGGAGATGAAAGAGAAGGAGAATTGATCTATCACCATTGTGGGACTCCTCCACATCTTACAAGCAAAGGACAAGGGAGTCTGTGGCTCTACCTGCCAGTGGCATTTGTTCCCAATCCATCCTGGCAGTAGCCCTTTTGCCTCCCACCCCTGTGGCAAGGAGTCCCAAGGGTTAATTCTAAACTGTGTGGAAAACTCCAGCAGTTTAGGACGTTTCTAATTTCACCATGAGGCATTTTGGTGTATCAGTGCAGCAAAAGAACCAAAGGAATTCCTGGCTGCTCCCCCTGCCATTTGTTATCCCATGCACTGCTGTCGCTACCTGTCTGTTTTATATACCATGTGGTCATCACTGGAAGAGCTGTGTGCCATGTCCACTCAGTCCCGAGATGAAGCAGGCAGAGCTACATCAGACCTCATGGATGATAACTTGTAAGCATAATGGCTTGATCTGAACTCAGCTGGTTTGAAAAGACTCATAGTAAGATGAAACCTAAAGCTCAGGTTTCAACGGGCATGTTTTAAAAAAAAAGAAAGAGTAAAAAGAGAAATAAAATGTATTTTCTTGCTAGTTTAAAGGACATAATTGTCTTCCAGCAGCAATGGGAGGGAATGCCAGGGGTATCTCTGTACAGTGTGATACAGGGCCAGCAGCTTACCTGGATGGTCCTCACTGCTCGGCGTCACCCCAGGCAGTACCAGGAGAGGCAGGGAGCTGGTACGGTTGTCTTGGTGGGAGAAAAAAAACAAGATTGTAGAAGGACAGGTGTAAATAAATGTGCTTTGGCACAGCTATCAACCTCAGCCACTTAGCGACACTCATTGACTTTGGGAGTTGGTGCTTTGAAGTCAGACAGAAGCAAGTGTGCTTCCTTGCAGGGGCAGATCACATGGGACAGTGCACTGTTTGTGTTACCCTCTGTGCCATTTCTGGAAAGGAAGCCAAATTAATAAAAAATCGCTAAGAGAGAAAGTTTTATCTGGGAAGAGGTGAAGAGGATCACCGGCAAGCACAGCAGTTCAGGTAGGAATAGAAAATTTGAGCACTGGGCGGTATGCAATGAAATGGGTGGGGCATCATCCACACCCAAACACCACAGAAGCCTTAGATGAGATTCCAAAATCACCAGCAAATGAGGAGAGAGGAAATCTCAGTCCATGCTCCAACCCCCATGGTTTAGCAGCCTTGGTGGACAAGATGCCCAAGGTCCCTGTGGTGGCAAGCCCAGATCCCCACATGGGTGCTGAGCTCCTCCACCTTGGCTGCCCTTACCACCTTCTCTTCTTCTCTCTCCAAGTGTCAGGGAGGCAAAGCAGGAGGGGGTTGGGACTATCCCTACAGTGAGTGCAGCAGATGGAGCAAACTCCATGGGAACTGCTCTCATCCACGTGGGAGAGGCCAGAGGGAGAGTGGGCACCACAGCCGGCCAGCAGTGAGCTGCTCCAGACCAATATATCACGGGTGCTTTCATGGTTTCGTGCCCATTACATTTTGCTGAGCTCAGGCATAAGGATGCAGGGGATTTAGAGACTGTTTATTTTTGTCGTAAGGAAACAGGAAATAGTACACAAGGCTATAAATATATCTCGGGCTTCATATGACATCATGAACTCGTACAAGTGCTTCGCTTCTGATTTACGATGATGGACTGGTAATTCACAGGAGCTTTGGGTTTACTTTATTTTGCTGTTGCAGTAACAAAGCTAATGGTGCAATCCCGGGAGGGGGTATTTTATCAATAGTGAATTTTTGACCTCATTGCATACGTTTTAACTTCATGAATTAGTGACCCAGCTAACTGTAAAGCCTTCTATAGGCCTATTATAAATCTATCACAGGACTGGCAAAAACTTTTGGCCCAGATCCTAAGCTCTGACAGGCATGTGTTGATGGACTGCCTAGCAAGCACTTCCACTAATATTTCTTGCTAATTATACCATATATTAAGAAAAAATGAATGAAGCCAATGTTTGTATGCAGCTTTAACTGCTTTTCATATAAGAAAGCAACACAATCCCTAATAAATTTTCACCTTCAACATTTCTATTCATTATAATTTTTACCATGATGAATGAAGTTAGAACTGGAGAGGGAGGGGGTTCATCTTGAAATCTGTTCAGTGAATGAGTGAATTTACTTCCCTTCCCCAACTTGTGTCGAGGAAGGAGGGAACAGATGGACACAGGAAGAAGAGGGAGGTGAGTGCGGAACGAAGGAGATGGGTGAGGAACAGATGGAGTTGGGGGAAAGTGGAGAGGAGAGTCAGCAAGGATGGTAGGAAAGTTTTCCACTTGACCTTGAGTTGAGATGAAGATCTGCATATAGCATGGGACAGCTAGATTTTCAGGATGCATCCTTTTTTCTCTCTGTGGCACTTAATGCTGCAAAGATTTTGGGGCCATCCCAGCAGCCCAGTCTATCCCAGAGGACCTGCAGAGCCAGGACTTGAATTTTTTCAAAGGGTCAGTTGCAGAAAGGCACCTGCACTGTATTCAGGTTCCATAATGGTAATGGCAGGGGAGAAGTATGTGCAAACAGGACCCAAAATGGGTTGGGATGTCATAAGTCTCCCAGGTACCCCAGCCAAGCCAGAAACTGGAGTTTACAACTGAAAAGGTATCCTACACCCAGTTTGTTAGGATCCAATGGCCAAAATACTCAGAGTAATTTATGATTTTACCTACCTAAAGTAAGGCATTCGAGATGGCCTGATTTTCAGAATATGCTGAGCATCTGCATTTTGAGGTGTATTGAATTATATATCCCAAATCGCCAGTAAGTCTTGGAAAATCTTGATTATATTCTTAATTCTATTAAATTGCCTGCATATACTCCGTTGGTTCTGGCTTTGCTAGTTGAAGAATGGAAGAGGTGAAAGTTAAATATTGGCCATGTGTGTCATTCCCTTTGAAGAAAATGGGAGCCATGTGCACTCACCTAACAGCAATGTTTGGCCCCAACTATGATTTCACAGCTGGGCCCTAACTTCAGGAATGCCAAAGCACTAAATGACTCAATTGGAGTAATCTGATCAATGCTGTATTTTTACTGTGGATTTAAATTGCACACACAGCAAGAGCAGAGTTAGTTTTCTTCTCTCTCAAAATCACTTTTCTGTGCGGATTTGATAGCATAAATATGAAGTATTGCTCTCATCACACAACTAAGTGAAATGGCAGAAAACGTATGTCAAATAAAATGCACAACATTACGTCCTTTTTATTTTTTTGAGGCTGTTTAAGAAAACGGCTTCATTAATTTTGACTGAATAAAAGGTTCCTTTAAGGGATTTCAATAAGTGACATGAAAAATGTTAATACGAATGATCAAGACAATGGAGGTTAAAACTGTTTTGAAAATATGTTTCTTTTATAGATCTCAGCTGTTGGAAGAGTTACAGAATAAATATACGGTAGTGCTGACATTCGGTGCTGTTTCATCTTAGCAAAAGAGTTTTTAATAAAGAAAATTCTTTTCAAGGAATGCTTTCTGCAGCCAGTCTTCAAAAAGAGGTTTTCTCCCCTCCTAGTTTAATAAAAATTAAAGTAATTTATGTCATATTGATATGTCGATATGTTTTTCAATAAACTTTTTCACAGAGATTTTTTTTTTAAATTCTCTTCACTTTAAAAATTATAATTATATGTCTTCCTCCCACTTTGAAAATGGCACAAGGTGCTCATTTGCAGAGCTCTACTGTTCAAATCTTCACTGAGAATAGAAATGTCATGACTCAGTTAACAATGCTTTATTATTCACATTGATCTTTTTTTATAGTGTTCTTTATCTCAAAAACATTGTAAATCAGATATCTTCCTCCCACTCTTTTGTTCATTTGCAAATTTTTATTATTCTAGTTTAAAAAAGCAATGGAGTGTCAAGAGTCAGTGTATATTGTTTATGTTCTTTTTGCTTTAAAATTACTTTTAACTATAAAAAGTAAGATGTATAGCAGGAAAAAAAAAAGGCTGGATTTAAGGATGCTTAAAAAAGAATTGAAGGGATCAGTGTGAATTTTATGCTATTCTCTTACACCTTAGGGTTGTAACAACTTTGCAAGAAGGGGGACCAAACGCTTTATGGAAAAGGTTTTATGTGCTAATTCAAAAGTCCCTGTTGCATCAGACATCATCATCCACATTGAACACTGGACATAATTCACCCCCTAAATGAACACAAGAACAAAAGTCACAACTGGTTTTGCAATGTGTTCCCTGGAAGGTTTACAGGTGCCTGCCCAGAGCCCTGCACTCTCCACTGCTCCCTGTCAGAGCCTGGCATCAGGTCCTCAGGAGCCCCTGCCTGATAACCACCAAGATAAATCATGGAATTTTCACAGGAACCTCACAGCTTTGGTATCAAGTGTTAACTGCGGCAGAAATATAACCTTGGCTGGGCAACAGGCAAGGCAATCCCTGAAACCCGTGGGTGCAGGATACAGCTGTGCATCCTCTGGGAGAGCCACGCTGGGGACCCCAGGCCTTGTTTCTAGATTGGATCTCCCAAATTCTCCTCCAGCCACTGTTTCCTTTCCCTATCATGTTTTTCTTTAGGTCTGTATCTCTGTCCTGATCGTTGTGACTTTATGAAATGGCTTCTATGAAATAAATCTGTTGAAGGAATTGGGGTTAGTCCAGAGAGCAGCAGGATCTGGTGGTATTTCACACGCTGTTTGCTGTCAGGTCACTTTTTTTTTTTTTTTACCTGTTTTGAATTTTATGATCAGAACATCCTGGCACACTGCTGTTATTCCAGCAGCTCTTGAAAGAGATCCTACTCTCTGGGAGTCTCTGAGATGGAGTGGTTATTCTTGAAGTTTTCTTTAAGCCCCAGCTTGGATTTTTTTGATCTTATGGAATGATAGAGTAGTTTGGGTTAGAAGGGACCTGAAAGACCATTTAGGTCCAACCACCCACCATGGGCAGGAACACCTTCCACTAGATCAGTTTGCTCCAAGCCCCATCCAACCTGGCCCTTGAACACTTCCAGGGGTGGGGAGGATCTTTTAGGTGGTGTGGTGGCTCTATCGTATGAAACAGCCATGCAAAGTTTTGTAAAGAAAACTCAAGTCTGCTTTCCATATTCTTTTGTTTCTTCTTTTTGTTTCAATGCTGCACTCTGCTGATATTTTGCTAAAAGGGATAATTAAAAATCTCAGAGCAAGTAAGTCTCAAACTGAACCTGCCCTGTCCTTCCCCCTTCAAGTGGAGGGCTTAGCAATCTGTTTGTTCTTATTAATGCCAATGGGTCACTCCAGACACCATAGGGCTGTGCCAGTCCTTGTTCCCTCCTGGAGCTGCAGGGATTTGGGAAGCACAGCACCACACAGAGCCCTGGAGGCTGCAAGACCACCCTGCCCTGGGTTCTGGGATAAGTCCATCCCAGAGCTCATGGGCAAGTGCTTATTTTGCAGGATTAACTCAAACCTCTCAAATTCTCCTTATTCTTCACGGCAGAGTGTGAAACTGGAGGTTTTGATGTATTGTCTTATTGGAAATGATCTTGTTGTCAAAGTAATGAAAAAACAAACATTATTATCATTTTTGTTATTATTATTATTGTCCTTGCCTTGACAGCACTGCTGCATTAATTCTCTCTTCCTTCCCTCCTCTCATAGTTAATCACTCACCACACAATGAGGTTAAGACTGTCTGCCAATATGATCAAATTTCAAAACAAAATCCTAACCAGAGCAGAGTAGCCAGAAGTGGACGGGGTTTAATACAC